GATAAAATTTGAAGGTGCACCTTACCTCTACACCTATGGATGCATCTGTATGCCAACTGCACCCCTCTATTATTATTTTCAGAGGAGCACAATAAACTTGGTCTTTCACACAAAATATTTTTTTCTCATTCTTTTGAAATATTGGGATCCACTTTAAAATATCATATGCCTATTTAAAATAAAATTTACCTTTTTAATATGGGATTATCTACAAAGAAACCATACATCTTTTGTACATGGAAGTCACAATCATGTTAATATTCCCAAAATATTGGACGGTTTCTATTCAATCTTGAGACATTATTTTTTGATGTGCTTAGAGGGCAAATTTTTTTTTTTTATGTTAATCTATGTGTTAAAGAGGCTATATCCCCGAAATTTGAGGTTCTAAAATTAATCCTAGGTGAAATTTTACTCAGAGGAATAAATGGACAATGTACTCCCGAGGGAGTAGAACATTTTTTACTTATGTTGGACTAATTTTCTTGATGCTATCGATATTTTTAAAAGAAAATGTGATACTTCCTTAATTTTTATATTTTCAAATTATATATTTTAGTCTGTATCCTCATACAAAAGAACTATTTTTAGTGACTTCTTAAATTTCTCTCAATTACCTTATTTTTCTTTTCTTTTTTTATAAAATTAATGAATGTGATGCTACTTTTTCAATCTTGTAATTATAGAATTTTTCTTATATGAAAAATAATTCGTATGAGTTTAAATAGCAAAAAGCTGAAACATTGTATATAATATGATTCGTTGTGCCTTTGTCATGGACAGGTTGTGCACCAGTAATTCTTAATATTTCTGGCCTCACACGACCAAAATGGACATTTGGTCTATCATGCAAACCTCATGTCTTTTTCTCTTTCTTTTTTTTTTCCTTTTCATTTTAGGGGGATGTGTAAGAAATTTTGTATTTAAGTAGAATTTTTGAATTATCTCTAATTCACTTTGTAATCAATTTAGAGTAAAGGACAAAAAAAAACTAATTTTGAGCTCTTAAACCCCATAATTGTTCATATATTGGATGGTGGGTCCAAAGTCAATATGACATGAAACTCGTTTAAACAATTTCTAAAGTTTGTATCAATTTAAAACAAAAAAAAAATCTGATGAATAAAACTGATTTCATCCGACCATCTAAAATGGTGGTTTACTGTGTGTTCCAATGTGCAAATTGGTCCCCCTCAGGACCACTATAACTTTTTCCCCATGATTTTGAGCAACTTCAGCTGATCCTAATCCCAAGTTCTTGTATTTGATATTAATGGGGTTCTTCCATAAAATATTTCTCCAAGAAGAATGTGATTGTCAAAATGTTATCTGATAGCTAATAATAATTTGGCACATAGACCTTAACATTTATTTTAAAATGAGAAATGCTCCGTTTATACGCAGAAATTACAACGAAAGTAGCTAACTTGCATTTTTTTAAAAAAATCGCCCTTTAGTCTGATGATGGAATCTTCGGTCCGAATTTACTTTTTTTCTCAGTTTTTTATTAAGTATGGCAGTGCCCGACTAACGAAAAAACTAAAAAAAAAAAATTAAAAATTGGTCTGAGGTCCTTAGATTGAGGGGCACTTTTGAAAAAATAAAAAAATGGGTTGACCGACCTTCTTGGTAATTTCTACCTATAAATAGAGGACTTCGTATTTTAGGACAAAATTTAGGGTCCATACCTAAATCCCTCATCATAATTTGATCCAATAGACTATGAGAGTAAACTTATCCAAGATTGCCACAAAATTCACTATTTTGCGTCCAAATGAATTGGTTCCCAAACTCACCATTTTTATTGAGAAAAGAATGAAAATAATTTATATATTCTTACCTAAATCATGAAAAGGAGCATTTGAACTTAAACAAAACTTCGGCAAAAATCTAAAGGACTCAATCTTATATTACTACAATATTCATCCATATAGTTGGAATTTTGTTTTTAGCTGATATGAATCTTTATCCAAAAAAAATAACTGATGTCTTCATTTTGCCGGTGCACAAAGTTACTCTGATCGCAAACTATGTTGGCAAATTGGACACTACTTGTTGGTAAATTGTACACGGACTTGAGCCACTTGCATATGCAATCTTCATGATATCGATGCAAACAAGGCATTTCCTTCACATTACTGGCTCCATTGCTCAGCTAGGACATGCATACAGTACATACATTTTCCTTTGTCTCCTTCACATTACTGGCGCCATTGCTCAGCTCGAACATGCATATAGCATGTACATCTTCCTTTGTCTCTGTCGCTTCCATTAGCTTAAAGGATTCCACCAAAAAGGCCCGTGGTCGAAGAAATTTCTCAAACTTATTTCGAATTTGAGATATGAAGCTCTTCAAAATCTTCAGTTCTAAGTCACCACCTTCATCATTCACAATCAACAAATTAGTGAAGCACAGTTTTTCTTGGGGCTATTGAGATTAGCATGGAGCGCCTCGGCTACACCAAACATGTAGGATGATGGGAGCTTACCTATGCTAGGCATCATCGGGTCTACTTGCTTGAATTCTTTATGCGAGCTTACCTATGCTCAATATCATCAGCTCTAC